CAGCATCCCAATACTAATGTGAAAAGCAGAGGAAATCTTCACTTGGAAGACATGGAAACTTTCCAGTGCATGTCTTGAACCAAAGAAATTCCTTGAGACCAATGGGGGAGAACACAAGAGAGCTTAATCTGATTTACTGCTGTCCTTTGAGTGTCTGACATGCTGCTGTAAAGATAACATCAGATAGAGGGGCTGGAGTGTGCAAACTGGGGTGGGGAGAAGATCTTCCCCTGTGGCTCTTCTGCTCCTTTGAAGTCATTGACTCATTGCGGTTTGGTTTTCCTGTTTAGTTGTTTTGTTGCTGTGGTGACAGGCCCTGTGGTGCTGCCTTAGTGCTAACAAGTCGAGGGCATGTTAATTCACAACTGTGCCTGGAGATAGCCATGAATAAGACTAATTCCCCCATGTTCATGGTTTTGCCCAAGTTTCAGGATTGGCTGAGCTGTTGGGGATACTCTGGGGGGTCAGCATGCTTGGCTGAAATCCCACACACCATCCCTTGACTTGTGCCTTTGAGCTGCAAGGCTGAGGTGTGTCAGGCACAGGAAGGGTTCCAAGTGGATTGGTTCAGTCTTTGGAGCAAAGTGGGGTGAGATGGGGCTGGGGCTTGGATGGAAGGTTTGCACTGCCTTGCTGGAGGAAGTTATGTCTGTGAGGGTGGTTGCAGTGCCTGGCCCTGTATCAGCTATGAACTCATGATGCTGTTTGGGTTCAGTGATGGGCAAGTGGAGGAGAGGGAAAGGGCTGCTGGCATCGCTCCTCTAGGGAAATAAAACTGGAAAGCTTTGGCTGTGCTGTTAGGCTTGTGCCCCTCTGTAGAGTGGGGTGCTGAGGTGCCAAGGGCCTGGCCAGGCTTCTGATGTGTGTGACTAGAGCTTACCAGAAATCTCATCATTGACTGAGCTCCTGAGTCCTGCTGGTCATGATACCAGCTGCAGGACAAGGGTCGACTGCACTTCAGCTGTGCTTAGGGGAAGGTTCTGGCAGGGGTCATGACAGCTGGGCTTCTCTTGCCCAAAGCTGGGTTTTTGAGGTAAGAAGGAGGAGTAGGATGGGGTTTAGTAAGCAATCTGTCAGGGCTTGAATATTATCCAAGCAAACTGCTCATCCATCCAGCCTACTGGCTGACATTGGTTTCAGCTCTTCTGTAGTCAGTGCTGCTATACCCCAAGTAAATTCTGGCCTCCTTCTTCCAGATGATGAGGCTTGAAGGATGCCCCACATGTGGCTCCATCTGCACCATGCAGACTGTCCAGGTTGGAGGCAGCCAGTTAAATCAAAACAGCCTTTTGGTAGCTTCAGGTCTGGAGTTTGCTATGGTGAGAGCAGGTGTTCCTGGAGGCAACGGGCAGCCTTTTGATCATGCAGCAAAGCTGTGTGCTTTCTTACCTGGAAAGGTACTGGTGAGAGGTCTTGGTGCTCTGTTTTGGCTCCCACAATTCAAACTGAGCCAGGAGCTGCAATGCCAGGTAAAAATAAAATGCTACTAGGCTAGGACATGACTTCTGAGCTGAAGCTATCTCTGTAGCTCTGCCTGCTCTCTTGGCTGAGCTCTGGAGATAGCAAGCAGCTGGGGGCCTGGGAAAAGGTCTAAGTTTGGTACAGCTGCTTACAAAATATGTGGCCTAGTTTTTGTATGTCTCTGCTGAGGTTGTGGCCTGGCCTAAATATGCATGTCTGTGTGTGAGTCCTGTCCCTTGGTGAACAGAGCTTTTAGCTGCCTGTTCTTCTGTTTGAGGAGTTGGGGGAAAGGTTGGGACACGAGTAGCCTGATGTCTGCACCCACATCTGTCTGGCTGTTGTTGAAGACATGGTCAAAGTGACCTCAGGACCTTTCCCATCTGCCAGAGAGGATTGGAGACCCCTCTAGGGGTGCTTGACTCCCTCAACAAGCAGTATCAAGAAGAGATGAGAACTGAGAACTTTCACTCCCTCAGCATATGTCTATTCTCCTTTCTAGGTATTGCTCTCTCCAGACATGGATTTTGATCAGTCTGAAAGCGACCAGGATATTTCAGGACTCCAGGGAATGCACCAGAAGATGAAGCAGTCCAGCTATCAAGTGGTCATCTGACAACACAAAGGAGGTGGAGGAGGAGAAGCAGCACTGTGACCTTTGAGCTGGCCACAGAAAGGCAGGGTGGTGAATGCAGTTTGATCCCTGTGGATCTGTAGAGATCCTTTTGCCTGCCCCATCTAGACTTAACCTTCTGCAGTTGCCTCTTTGGGATGGTGTCTGTGCATCCTGTGCAGGCCTGAGCAGTGTCTGCTCTACCTGTCTGACCCTGGACACATGCAGGCAGGAGGTTAGGAGTATGTGTGTGTATTCCCCCTGGCTGGCCAGCTGGGTGTAGCTGTTTGTAAGGGCTAGAGACTGAAATAAAACAGATTGTCTGCTTTTTTATAGAAAAGAAAAAAATAAATCTGCCCAGTACTACCTGAACTGTGACACTTTTATATGCACAATATTCAGAAGAATTGGTTGCCAACATGTATTTAAATGTCTTGAACTGGGAAGATGGTCTCAGTGAATCTGATGCTTTTTACAGTTTTATAAGGAATGCAATAAATATTTGAGCTACAACTGCTTCATGATTGAAAGGCCTTAATGTGCTTAATATTTTGCAAGACCCTAATGCTGTAGAGGGGAAGAAATGGATCTGTTGACATCTTTCCTGGCCAGTTCCTCATAGGGCAAGTTGCCTTTCTGTAGCAGGGCTGTCCTAGTAAACCTGCAGAAGAAGAGCTGAGTCACAGTGCTTGGTTCTTTAGGTGGGGCTTTCGTGCCACTTGAGTCCAAAGACCTGGTGCTGCAGCATCAGCCTGAGCTGACTCCAGACCAGAGCAGACTTGGAGAACAGCCTGCCCAGGGAGGTGGTGGAGTCACCATCCCTGGAACTGTTTAAAAGAAATATAGATGTGGTGCTCAGGGATTTAAGCTAGTTTAGGTTATGGGAGGTGAATTTAGATGATGATTGGACTTGATGATCTTCAAGGTCTTTTCCAACCAGGATGATTCATCGATCTGTCCCAGTTAGCACCTTACAAGTCAGTGTTTACTGGGAATTAAAGGTGACTGCTTTCCTTTCACTGAGTTTAAAATAAACATTTAAACTCTCTACAGGACCTGTTTCAAAAACTGGATCTGAAGAGTCAGCTGAAGCTCAGTTAAGCAGCCCTGCTGTGTTGGGTGTAAAGGAATGGGCTCAGGTAGGACTGCTGCAGGAGAAGACCCCTGGGTCACCCCAGGTCCTGGCTCCAACTGTGAGGCATAGGGCTTTGCCCTTGCTCTCTTGGTGACATATTGTATTAATCTATAAATATAAAAATGCAAAACATTTCTCAGCTGTCCTGGGGAGAGAGAACACAGAGCAGCTGCATTATGTGCTCCCAGACTGGTGCAGATACACAGCTGTGGTGAGACCCATACAGAGTCAAAATGGTGTTTGGTCCTTGGAGCAGGGCCTGATCCAGGATCTGCTGAACTGAACAGATAAACCTCCTTCAGCCATAGACAGGCCTTGCTTATTCCAAGACAGTCCCCAGAAGTTGGGCAGGAGTTGTTTGGGTTTTGGGTTGTTGGGGTTTTTTTCTTATTTCCTTCCCCTTTATTTTTTTGGAAGAAAACGTGTTTTATTAAGGAGTAGAAAATAAAAGGATTTGGAATTTGGAACTTAAACAGCTTTAGACTTCTAGAAGCCAAGCTGACAGCGTGTGAAGTTTTTGTTGTTGGGGATTTTTTCCAACTTCAAAGTAGTTTAGAAACAGATGCAAATCAAAGCCTTGCATGCCCCTTGGTGAACTCAACATGTTTAGTGACACTGCTGTGCAGCCTTATCCTGTATTTCTGGAAATTAGGTCCCTTCTTGTTTCTTCCTTACTTAATGAAGGGTCAAAATTCTACTTCTGCTGGCACTTCAAGTGGCTTTTGGAACACATGGCACACAGGTCTCTGAAGAGATTGTTTATGTTGCTTGGCAAGAAGAGTTTCACAATGCAACTTTTGCTTGTCTGGTGGAGTTCTGGGCTGGTAAGGAGTGGAATAACTGCTGTGCTTTTTAAAGTCTTGACTGAAAATAGATTATATCAGGTTCCCTGTTAGAAAAGCACTCCCTATTTTGAAGTGTGCTGGTCTTTGACTGTTATCCCTGCTATAGGGCCACACAGTGAAATGCTGCAGTGTGTGAAGAGTGCAAATTCAGCTACAGCAAAGATCTTGTCCTAAAATGGAAGGTGATTGATGTGCTCCTGAGTGATTTTCATCTTACCCCTTATTTGAAGCTGGCTTGGAAAGCTTGCACTAGCTGGGCACATATGATGTGGGGGAAGGTTGTTCCTCTTGAGCATCGCAACCCTAAATTCCAGAGTCTTGTTCCTCTGTCTGAAATGCTGGTGTGCAATTGTTTCCACTGTGCTCCAAAGTGATTGCTCATTCCTGAGTGATCTGAGCAGCTTGCAGTCTTTGTATCACTGTGAAGCACAGTGCTCTGTGACACACTTGGAGGTGAGAACAAATGTGTGCCTGCATGTGCAGTTGTTGCAGGGCACTTCCTGGGAGCTCTCTGTGCTATGAGAAAGGGATGTGAGGACCAAACATGGATATGTTCTCCTTCTGAGAGGGAGGTGTTGTGATGTCTTTTGTATAGATGGGGAAAGCTGAAGTTTATAATCCATGACCTGCCTTTGCCCTTACTGCTCTTGGGGCAGCAGGAGCATAAACTCTGGTTTGCCGTGTTGTGTGCTACTGTATTTAAAGACCACATCAGTCTTCTCTATGTGCTTAAATTCTCCATCTACTGTGGGAGTAGACCCTTGGGGTTCATCTGACACACCTCTTGTTTCCTACCAAGTGTGTAGAGGCTGAAGAGCATCACTAACCTTTAATTTTCTGCTGAAACTACTTTAGTTCCCAACCTTTTTTATTAACTTGTGAGTGGTTCTTTCAGCCATCTGGTAACATGAGTTTGTCCAGCAGCATAAAACATGCATAGCCTCAGCTTCAAAGCTCATTTTATCTTTGCCAAATGAAAGCTTCACTGCATTGTTCACTGTAAAATATTTATTGTGAAATGGATAAGTGGAGCCTTAATGAGAACTTGAGTATGTTGCTCCAAGTGCTTCATATGGCTGGGAAGTTGGACTTGATCATTGTTGCTTTTCAGGCTCTGAAAGAAATATGTTTCCTTGGCTGGAGGAGGAGGAAGAGGAGTGATGTTGCACCCAAAGCATTAGCAACTTGTGTGTTTATACATATATATATATACACAAATCTATGTACAGGAGATATGAGTGGAGAGCCTAAGCCAATCACTTCCCTTAGCAATACACTTGAACAGCAGAATGTGGGAAGAGAGTAAAGATTTCAAAGAAATCTCTTTTCAGTAAGGACAGGATGGATAAGACACCTGTGACCCCTGTTAACTGCCACCATCCTGTTCACCGTGGGCTAGTGAAATTGGGGGTTATTTGGGAAGGGGCTGGGTGATCCTACCACCTGCTGGGGTGGAGAAGTCAATTTCACAGATGCTGGTTTTCATCTCATTTCTGGCCCATGAGTGTGCTGCCAAGCATTAACCTTTTTGGTTAATGGTCCTCTTTGGGCCCAAAGCAGTAAGTTTGTCTTTATGTTTTGTTCCAAAGCCTGAGCCTTGGCATGAGTCTTGCATTAATTGAGCTCTCTGTAAGGATCTTCCAGAGTATAATGAAATCTAGCTGGTTGTTTTCAGCCGTTTCCCTCTATTCCACAGTACCTGGTGTGAATAAGCAACCATGCTTGCTACCTGCTCTGCTGCCACAATGCTAGCAGTGCCAACTAGCTGATCAAGCAACTGGAAAAACCCAGGCCCAGCAGCTGGAACTCCCTCAGCAACAATATTATTTAATTTTTAAATATGAAAAAAAAAATTATCAGTCAAGATTGAACCTATTTCTGTAGGTCTTTGGCAACTCTGGTTTTTTCTAACACATGGGTATCATTTAGCTCCTGGAGATGCTTCCACTCCCGCCCTCCTTCCTTTCAGTCCTGGAATACATGAGCTCAATTTGGCCTTGGCATGTAAATGTCTTTGTGGTTGTCAAAGTCCTCTCTGGCCAAGTTCTTTACTAAGCAAACTCCCCTGTGGCTGCTCTACAGCTTTATTCAGTGTTGCCTCACTTTAAAATAGACCACAGCCTTGCAGCCTGGGTTTGGAGGTTGCTTTGCAGAGCAGCACCACCTGCAGTGGGGGTGGCTGGCAGACCCTTCTGTAACCTCCTGCTGCCAGATTCCTGCTGTGTAAGGAAGAAGAAGGAGCCAGGGAAATTGGGATGAGAAATGCCTGACAATTTGGAATAAAGACAGACTTCCTCCCTGATCAGAAAAGCAGCTAGAAATGTCTAAATTCAATAGGCTGTTTTGAGGGTCATAACTATTGTGGGTACTCGTTCATCATCCTTTAGAGAATTCAAATCTCTGCTAAGCAGAAGTGCTGCTGCTCAAGGAGGTGGCAAATCTGTTGGAAGTTTACAGGGGAACTTTGTTTCTCTCTGAGAGAGTCAAAACTCAACAAATCACTGAACTTGCAATATTATTTAAATGAGATGCTTTATGGAATGGGTGCCTGCACCACTCCTGTTGCTGCTGAAGACCAAAGGTGCTTTCTAAACACGCAGCCTGTGCACTGCAACAGCAATGAAGATTTTCACCACAGTTTTAAGGGTCTGTAGTAGTTGAGGGAACATCATGCTTGGTGGCAAATTGAGATTCCATCCCAATTACCAAGAAAGCAATACCCTGTTGTGGCCTGTTGATTTAAGGTTTTGAGTTCTTTGTTACCTCTTTGATGCTAATGGGTCACTGCAGATGAATATTCACCTACCTCTCTTCTCTCTCTCTTCTTTCCCGAGGTACCATGGCTGGACCAGGTACTCTTAAGTCACTTGTTTGCAAAGTGTATCACCTGTCTAGATAGGCACTGTGCTCTGTGCCTCTTACTGAGTGACTCACCAGCCCCTGGGGGGTATTGCACAGAGCCCCACATGGATTTATTTTCAGGCCAGCTGCTCTCTGCACTGTTAGATACAAGTGCTGGCTCA